AGTTGACATTGACACGTCAAGGTATAACGAAAATTAACATACACGTGTCGCACGTGATTTTTTATCGTTAAATTTTGCCTCATTTCCTCAAATTCGAAAATATAAAGGGTAAAAATTCATGTATTATAATATTAAGAATAAAAACCCTTAAATTCAAAAAGTTAAAAGGCAAACGGATACCTTTTGTCCCAATATCTGGTGCTGGCACTTCCTGTGCAGACTCTTTTTTTTTTAATTTTTTTCTCTTAACAAGCGTAAATGTCCTACCGTTACAAAGGGGAGCGGGAATGTTGCTGCAATCGGGGTTTCTGTAGAGACTTTAGGGTCTATGGAGAAATGGTTAAGAAAATGCTGAATGGGAAAAGTTTGTAATTTTTGTAATAAGTTTGATTAAAATTTTTTCAAATTATTAAATTTTTTGTTAAATAAGAAAATAATATAAAAAATTAATAACAATTTTATTAAATGAGTTTTACATAAAAAAATTGATAAAAATAGTTTATTCATTGAAAATTATGTTAAAAAGTAAAAATTAAAAAAAATTATTTTATTATAATATAAAAATATAAAAATAATTTTAAAAAATTTAAATTTTAAATTTTAAAAAAAATTTTCTCCAACCAAAGGCCTCCTTAGTTCTTCTAAAAATTCATGACACATTCCCCGACGCTTGGAAGTTGTACATCATCGACCATTAAAGTTCTTGCCCTACTTAGCATAAAATCAAAACTTCATTGGATCCTCCTCCAAAAGTCCCAAGAACAATTTTTTGAACAATATTTGAAAGTACTAAGAACATTGAACCTAGCTATAAGCTAAAGCATCTTTCCTTATAGCTGTTATTGGCATATAATTTGTGACTAAACCCAAATTAATTGACAAATGCACTTTCACTCAAGTCCCTTAATTAGCTATCGTTTTCTCTTTTCCTTTTTCCTTTTTTGAAAAATAGTGTTACTCCAGTCAAAAAAGCATTAATCAATGCAAATCATCACATATTAATTAAAATCTCAATAAAGTGATTTAATAATTAAAAATTTAAAATTTTAAGTTAATGATTTTAAATTTAAATTTTAAGTCAGATAAAAAAATTTAAAAAAATTATTCTTTTTTATATAGTCTATTCAAATATAAAAAAAAAAATCACATATTAATTGAATGATTCCTTTGGTTTTTGAAAATTCTAAATACCTTCTCATTCCTATGTTGATTCGTCACTTATACTTTTTATCTTCTCTCTCCTTTTAGTTGCTTCGAGATCTCTCTTTTCTTTTCTTTTTCATTTTATCAAAAGGTTTAATACCCAATTTGGTCCTTAAACTTTCATTGTAGAACTTAGTTCGTCCTTTAACAAATGAAAGCACCCAAGTTGTCCTTTAACTTCATTTTTCTGGAACCCAAATGGTCCTTCCGTTGAAAGACTGTTGACTTGGCACGTTAAGTGTCCAATAATTACAACTTTTAATTTTTAGATGCCTATGTGGAAAAAACACCTCAGCCCAATTGATTACATGGCACGTTTGATAAAATAAAAATAGTAGGATATACATTTCATTGTTCTTCAAAAACGCTAAATCCTTCTTCAACCCTTAAATCTGCAATTTCTTCTCCGAACCCTAGATTCCTTCTTCGACCCTTAAATCCTCTACAATTTCTTCTCCAAACCCTTCTTCGATCCTTAAATCCTCTGCAATTTCTTCTCCGAACCCTTGATTCCTTCTTCGACCCTTAAATTTGCAAGTTCTTCTCCGAACCCTTGACTCCTTCTTCGACCCTTAAATATGCAATTTCTTCTCCGAACCCTTGATTCCCTCTTTGACCCTTAAATCCTCTGCAAGTCTTTCTTCTCCGAACCCTTCTTCGACCCCTAAATCCTCTTCCACTCTTGATTCTTTCTTCTTCTTCGAACCCTAAATCTTTTACACTTTGTGATTCATTCTTCTTCCCTTGAACCGTATAACCTCTGCTATTTGTCTTTTGGCTTTTGGGTTTGTGAGAAGTTCTGCACGGAGTGCGATTTCAAGTTTTGGTTCACTTGAGAGTGGAAGCATGGCAGATTCTACAGAGTTTAGAAATGAAGATTATAGATGCAATTGTGGATTAAATGTTGTTATTCGGACTTCATTTGCTTTCCAAAACATGGGTAAGAGGTTTAGATGTTGTCCTAAGAAGAAGGTAATTTCTTTGTTTTTTGGTGATGGTAATTTCTCTGTTTTTTGGCAGTGTTAATTTCTCTGTTTTTTGGCAGTGGTTTTGGTTTTTCTCAATTATTAGTTTACAAGATTTCTATGTAGGATCCTTGCAATTACTTCCATTTCTTAGCTGATGAGGAAAAGATCAAGGGTAGAGCGATGGAGTTGCTGCTGGTTTTGAAAGATAAGGAATGCAGAGTTATGAAAGAGAAGGAGAAAATAATGCAATGATTGTCAATCTAATCTGATTGTAAAAAGTGATAAATCCAATCGAAAATTGCAGAGCTTTTAGGCTTTTGTTACTGCAAAAGTGAGAAGTTTCCCCTTCTTTTCTTTTTTCAATGTCTGCAGACTAGTTTATTCAGAAGGTGGGAGAGGCAGGAGAGGCGAGAGTGTGAAATGGAATGAAAATGATGCCATGTAATCAATTGGGCTGAGGTGTTTTTTCCACATAGGCATCTAAAAATTAAAAGTTGTAATTATTGGACACTTAACGTGCCAAGTCAGCAGTCTTTCAACGGAAGGACCATTTGGGTTCCAAAAAAATGAAGTTAAAGGACAACTTGGGTGCTTTCATTTGTTAAAGGACGAACTAAGTTCTACAATGAAAGTTTAAGGACCAAATTGGGTATTAAACCTTATCAAAAAAAGACAACATAAATTACGATGAATTAGATTTGGTAGGTCTATCTCGGTTTTGTCCTAAAATGAAAACGTGCATCTGTATCTAATTAACGTCAGAAATTTGGACCAATTCCAGAGACAATCAACCTAACCCGGCCCGATGCAAGTTTGCACCAACCCATTGGTGGGAGTGCTGCACGTAGTTTTTTTAAATTATGTAATAAAAAAATAAATTTTTATTATTTTTTAATTTATTTCATTTATATATTATAAAATTTAGTACTTAGACTTTCCATTCAATAGCTTTAAGCCACTCATTAAATGCATTCTTTTTTTTTGTGGACAACGATTTAAATTCAATTTTTTGTAAATTTGTTCAAAAATATATATTATAAAATTTAAATTTAAAATTTTTTATTTTTTATTAAAAAATTTATTTAATTATTTAAATAATTAATGAACCCTGTTGTTGCTTTAGTTTTGTTTTATGGTTAGTTTTTTAAATATTTAATTGTATAACGTATGAAGTCCGTATATCTCGTGACTTTGATACCTAATAAATGAAAAGGCGAAAAAGGCACATATATGAAGAAGATGTACATGTAAACATGCATGAACCTATATAATTCCATATGGGGCCAACTTGGAAACTAGAACTTTCTTTCTAATCCAATGCCAAATATTCCAACTGGTGGTGATGAATGTTTAGATTTGAGGATGCAAATATACAATATTATAATAAGCTATTGGCTTGGGGACAAGACACACTTTAAAATCATTGTCTTTTTGCCTAGGGTTTGATTGTTAGATTTGGACGCCTTCCAATTTTGTGCTTTAATTTTAGACCATAATGTATTCCACCGCTACTTTACTTCATGCCTAATGGGGTTACCTCACAGTTCAGAATTTTTTGTTCTTATATCGGTAAAATAAACTTATTAAAGAGTTATAAAGGGTAGTTTAACCCATTACTTCTATATTCTTTGTATAAATATAATATTTTTTTTATAAATAGACGTTGATAAAAATATCTTTTAATTTAATATATTTTATAATATAATTATTAAAAAATTATTATTTTTAAATTTAAATTAAAAATAAAAAATTATAAATTATAAATTTTAATAACTAAATTAATAAATATTAATAAGTGTATTGAACTGGAAAAAAAAATACCAATTATTTTCTTTTTTCAAATATTAAATCCTATCCATGACAAAACACAGATGGGGAAATTAGAACCAATCACTAAATGTGAAAACTAAGTTCTCTTCTGTTCCTTTTACCCACAGAAAGACTCAAATTGAAATCAAATAATCTACCTTCATCCCATTGTTTTCTCTAAAATTGATTCCAACCATCCAGACAGTCCATAACATCACGCCAAATATTAAACATCCCACTTCTAAACTTTGTTGAACATTCCATAAACAAAATATTGTAGACACCAAAAAGCAGCTAAAAAATTTTTTCATCCATTTAAATTGGGTTACACCAAAAATTGTTACTCACCTCTCTTTTGTTTACCTAAAACCAAAAATGCCCTAAGAGTAAAGCGATGATGAGATTCTATTAGCGATAGTCACGGATCTGCTCGTTCGTTTTTGGACATTTTCTCATATAATCTGATTTTATCGCATGCATGGGAAATTCGAATCCAATTTAATAAGGTACAGTATTTCATATAATACATAATGATTGCATGAATTTAAAAATTTTAGCTATAGAAAACAAAGGAAGAACTTGACAATTTAGATTTTGAGTCAAATATGGTGTCTCGATTTATATATATTACAGCCATCACACCTTGTGGATATGCTCCCACACCGGGCATGCTCTCTCTCCAACGATTAAAACAAGCAGAACAAGTAAACTTTTTTAAGTTCTTGCCTTCTATATACAATATCCATATTCTAAAAAAAAAAAAAAATTCTCTTCATTTTTAATACTTATAGTTTGACATTTTAATTAATTTTTTTAACATAAATTTTAAATAAAAAATTTAACAATTTGTATGAATAATAATTAATTTTTCCCTATATGTAGTTCTTATTTAGCATATTTATTTGATCAAAAAAATCTTAATTATCATTTATATAATATATTAAATTTTCCTTTAAAATTTATATCCAAAAACTCAAAAAATTAAACTAAACTACTAAAAATATATGGAGGGGTATATCTTTTTCATATATAGGATTTTTTTATTTTATGGTAAAACAAAAACCATTGGATGACAGTACAATCCCCTTCAATAATTTATATTGTGCAATTTGGTATATCTGGAGTTCTGACTGCACAACACTTTTTTTTATTATATATATAGAGATGAGTTTTTGATTATATATATAGAGATGAGAGATCAATTTACACATGAATCTTATTTACCACAACTTTTTAGATAAAAAATAATTATTTTTAATAAATGTGAATATATAAATATATGTAGAGAGTAAAAATTTATTTACACACAAATTTTATATATTACACTTATACAAAATTTCAATTATTCATCTCTTCACTTTTAATGGTTGAGATTTATTCATATTTATTAAAGATAATTATTCTTTCACCTAAAAAGTTGTGATAAATCTAAACCATTAAAAGTAAAGAGATAAATAATTTATATTTTGTACAAATGTAGTATATAAAAACTATATGTAAATGGATCATTTCTCATA